AAAAAAATAAACATTCAAATAAATATAAATCATGTCATCTTATTAATAAAAATATAAAAAAACCTGCACCAAGAATAAATGGTATACCAGCCCAACGTTCATTATGAATCGAGAGAATAACTTGCGCATATATTGGTGTTGTTGAATCTTTTGGTACGCCTTTATCATCTAAATAACCTAGTTGATGTTCAGAATCTGTTCAATATTTATCACCAAAATATTGTCCAATGATAACATCTTCAGTTTTTATTGGTACTACAGAACGTAATACTTTTACTTTTTCATCACGAATGCCTTCACCTTTTTGTTGAACGTGGTCTTTCCATGGCAACATTTGATAAAATTTGCATTAAGTGATTTTAAATTACACCTCTTTACATAAAACTACAATGAACTATTGCAAGCTTCACTACGGCAAAGTTTCTTTATGGTAATAGAATTATTTAAAAAACCTTAAAGAAATATATTAGAAATTGTTGATCACGAGAACCTCTTCGTTCTTACTCATTCTCTTATATTTCAATATAAACTGCACGAAATATATGAAGACAATAGTGAGTATTTGATGTAAATCGACTTGAAAAAACGCAGTTTGTCAGGTAGATATCGCGGTTATACGAAAAACTTCCCATGAAATAAATTATGGCAGCCAACTGTAACATCACGAATTTTGTTCAGTGCGAGACACAAGAAAATGGGGTTAACGGCGGCTTTCTTCTAAAACTTTTTTTTATCAGATGGTTCTATATTTGCAATAAGACTATTTTTCGAATTTCGACCTGAAACGTTGCTCACATAAAGAAGTTTATAAAAAATTTCAAATCTATCAAAAGGTAAATACCACATAGGAAAAAAAATTTGTCTAAAAGTTTTCATATTTTGGAAGTTGACTTAATTCGAAAATTTTAAAACTTTTTTGCAAAAAAATCTAATCCGTCATTTTTTCTTGACAAATATTCAGGCCGAAATTCACTAAAAAGGTTCGATCTCTTTAGTTTGGCTCTAAATAGAATCAACACTTGAGAATAGTTTCTGTAAGGACATATTTATCTTAAGTTTCTTGAGAATAAATGTGTAAAAGAGACATCTCTTTAATGTTGAAACCCATAACAAGATTTTGTTAGGATACTAAACGAAAAAGACATCAAAGCTGTCACAACTTTATTTGATTAAATCGCAATACTGTAACTACCATACTCAGAAGACAAGATGAAGTAGCATTGATACCTGAGTTATTCTCAAAATTGTTATTTATTTAGATATGTTGATCAAGTCACCCTCTGAAAGAGAAAGCATCAAACAAGATTTGGCTTGAATCCATGTTCTGTATTCACTAGTTATTCAATTTAGTAAGAAGTGATTCCTGGAAATTTTCGAAATCAATTTCTTTATACCGAATGATTTCAAATTCGTCAAAATAGCCGCCTCTTCCTTGTGTTCCAATATCTTCTTGACAAATAATATTAACTGTTGCAATAGAATCTCTATTCCATACTCTTGATAAAATTTGATTTGCAAATCTAAGTACAATTATATTTTGTACCATTTCTTTTCCTAAATAATGATCAATACGATAAATTTCTTCTTCAGTAAAAAATTTAGTTAAATGTGAAGATAATTTATTTGAACTTTCAAGATCTTTACCAAATGGTTTTTCAACAATTAAACGTAATCAACCAAGTCTATAAATATAAACAGTTAGAAACAAGCGAATCTATACATAAAAATTTCATCATACGATTTTGGTCGGCAATGTTTACTAATCAATTCGGTAACACTTTCTTAGATACTTGTTGGTAATGCTAAATAAAAAAAGGTCGATGTGCACTTTCTTGTTTTGATAATTTATTAGCTTCAACATTTAAATTTTCGAAATATTTTTCATTATCATATGGGGTGTGAGTGTGGGTGTGAGTTTAATGAAGAGAAGATTCACACCTACACCCACATCCAACTAAGCGTTAATGAAATTTCGCAGTGTGAGCACATAACGAACTGTAAATATCTTGAAATTTAAACCTTCGGGCTGCGTACGCTATTGGTAGCTCATGTCTTTCTTTTTTATCATGCTATAACTGGGATCTGAAGATCCTGTCAGTACAATTTTAAAGAAGATATAGATAGATATTTAAAGAGAAATATTATGTAGGACACAAGTGAGAAAGATAGCACAAACAACAGCATCAGCTATGTGACACAACAAGTAAATCGTCAGAAAGAGAAAGAGCGCAAACACAGAGGACAACGGGAGTTGGTAGCTCATGTTTTAAACTAATTGGTTGGTGAGTGAATACATTCACTTGATTTGATTATGACTAATCCCCTTAGTTTGCAGTTACATGACTTTCGATTATTACTTAATATAAAAAAGCTAGAAAAAGATATCTAGTGTCCGATTCTTTTACACAGCCCAAAACTCTGTTTACGAGAAATATGCGCAAACAAACAAGATATATACAAAGGTAATAGAACATAAATTCCATATTATTTTTCAAGTTTTCCTTTGTTCAAAATTCTTCGATTAAATGCTTTTGAGCTAAATTATGTTTACAAAGTCGTTGAAAAAAAAATAATTAGTATTTATTCTTAAGTTCAGCAACGCAAAAGTTTACTGATATATTAAGGTGTTCGTCAGTGGCTGTAGAACTTAGAAAGCACTAAAGATTAAGAAACGAAAGAAGGTAGTGTAATATGGATCTATAATATTAATGAGTTATAGTGGTCCTTAATTTTGTAGTAAAGCCACCATCTAAAAACGTTTAAAATTCGGCAACAGAACAGAAAAAAATCGGGAAATTATTCAAATTTCAGACACTTTCCTGACTTTCCAGAAGGTCTGGCAGTTCTGATTTTAACTGTAATTTTGGGTGAACATGAGTTTGGTTTTATTGGAAAAACACTAATCATGTAAAGATAAGAGAAGGATAGATCAAAGAGACGAAAAACAAGAGCACAGATCAAGAGAATATACATGAACATATATCTACGTAGATACGTATACATGTAGAGTGAAGCAGAAAAGAGAAAGGGAAAATCTAATGATATATATGTGAAAACATAAAGGAAAAAAGCAAGAAGAAAATCGCGTAGTTCATAGGGAAAATGTCCTTGCATGCTGCACAGATACATATTGGAAGAATCCTCAACATTAACTTAGGCATGTTTTTCTTACGTTACGGTACTTTATTAGGCCAAAAACGTTTTTGGTATATCAATAAAAGCTTTTTCCGTTTCGCCAATCACTTTTTTCGACACAAGAGAAGTTTAACAATTTGTCTAAAACTCCTGGTTACGTCACTGATTTCTATTTGGCTTGTTGCTTTGTATTTTTATATTCTGTGTTTTATTATGATTTCAACCATTGGGTTAACTAATAAATAAGTGGATTGTATGTATCCATTAAAGTTAGAACAAGAACGGTTCACTCTTTTTATGTTGACCTGATGAAGACTACGTACTACTTATGATATTCACAAACATATTTTAGCCATTGACATTTCGAGGAAGGTTTTGGAATTTTTTAGAACAGTTTAAATCTTGTTGCTGATTTCATTCAGTACCTTTTTCTGTTGCTGTTGTTCTTTCTGTTACTAGGAAAAATATGCTCATTGATCTCTAATCTTTAAACCACGTCGCTAAAGTCTAAGAAAAAGCTGCACAAATCTTGATTAAAACTTGCATTTGTAATCAGTAGTCTTAATACTATTGAGAGGAGTGAGGGTATGGGTGTTGATATTCTATTTAACTAAATCTACACTCTGTTATTTGATTTAGTACATTATTTTCAAAAGCATTATTTGCTGAAAACCCTTGATAATGATAAATTCAAAGTCTCGTACTACAGTAGTTTTTTTTATTCAAGTAACAATTTTTTTTCTATTTTTATTTCTACTTTTTACTATTTTTCATCAATACAAAAAAAAAAAATCATAACACAGAAAAAAGTGAATTCATTACTTTAAAAAGCAATTCATCATGATTTTTAGTCATTATTAGTATTATTATGTATTAAAAAGTTGTTTGCTTTCTAAATTTAAACACTCTGAAGACATTTGCTATCATAAGCAAGATT